TGTCTGACTAGGGGCGAGACGTGGGCTGATGACGTCATCGTTTCAGAAAATATACGGATTCGCTGTCCACACGAAAATGCAAGGGTGGCGTTTTCAGATTTATCCACTCTGGGACCCGGTTTAAAAAAATATCGGTTTCACTCTCCCAAAACGCCGGATCCGTGTGGACGAAACGCCTATACGATACAAAATGTATGCGTATACAGCTAAACGCGTCTCCGTGTGGACGGGGCCTAATACAGTACATCGGGCAGTACATCCAAACGCTCGCCTATCATTCCTCGACCTCAAATATGGCTTATCATCTGAAATATGTAAGTAGTAGCACCTTTACATGGCCACTCAATCTAATGTTAACCTAGAGAAATGTGCGCTGTTCAAGTGTCTGTGCGGAGTGGAAGCTGAACATAGCGAGCTCACTACAGGACAGATGGTCGCCGGTGCGCTCACTTTCTCCTAAAATAGTCATTTTGGTCATACAGATAAGAGTAATACTTATCTTTCAAATCTGTAAAGACTCGACGTTTATTTGTGTGCACTCACAATGACAACAAAACGCGCTTTTGTAAAATAATAAAAGCAAACATGATATGCTTTCTGCTGTCTCGGTCTCTGTGAACTTGAGCACAAAACTCTGTGTAGCCTATATCTTTGCCTTACAGACATTAAAAATATATCTATACAGAGTGAAATGTCTACTTTCAAATGAACCAATTCAAATGGAAAACAAATATTCTCAGATTGTGTAATCCGTATGAAATATGCATGCACATCCACTACTGCGGAGATGACGAGTCAGTGTCGCCAACTTCTTAATCTGAAAACAAAGAAAGCACTAGTGTATCAAATTATTAAAATGTTAATGCAGTCTCCTTACTGTTTTTCCCTCACACATTCATAATCATTACTTCTGCCGGTGCGCTGTGGCAAGCTTTATGCGTGTGCTTGAGCACTTGGCTATATAGGCAATTAAAGGCTCATAATAATGATTTAAATGGTTTATTAATAAACGTGTGATTACTCGACTAATGCTTAAAATGAATGACTACTAGTCGACCAGAAAAATCCTGTCGAGGGCAGCCCTAGAGAACACAATATACTGAAGATCGGCGTTGGGGATAACGCATTACAAGTGACGCAAGTTACATAATCAGATTACTTTTTTTAAGTAACTAGTAAAGTAATACATTACTTTTACATTTATGAAATAATTAAATATCTGAGTTTCTTTTTCAAATAAGCAACACAAGTTACTTTGTTTTCCCATTTATTCACTGGCACCTCTCCTGTCAGAAGCAAAGGCATTTCCTTCAGCCTGGGACTTATTAATTTCACTTTTGTTTTTTTTGTTAATAAAAAACAAATAAGCAAGCCCAGCCAATGTGACAAAAAGTAATGCAAAAGTAATGTAATGCATTACTTTCCATAAAAAAGTAACTAACGCATTTAGTTACTTTTTATGGAGTAACACAATATTGTAATGCATTACTTTTAAAAGTAACTTTCACTCGCTAGGATGAGGGAATGAATTAATAAGTCACAGAAAATCCACAAATGCTTAATTCATGGTCACAATATGTTTTTTTTCTTCTGCATGTCATGGATGGGGCT